AGACCCTTCATCAGAAAATTTTCTGATGAAGGGTCTAGGCCCGAAACGTCAGCCTTTCTGCTCCTATGATGCTGCTTGGCCTGCTGTGTTCATCCAGCTCTGCACCTTGTTGTCTCGGATTCTCCAGCATCTGCAGTTCCTATTATCTCTGATTCAATGAGCCACTGTGCTGCCCTAAAGAGCATTAGTGAACCTTATTTATTTTAAACCCAACAGAGTAGCTATATGGTTACTATTGCTGATACTTTTTTAAAATTCCCCAGATGCCATGGTGGGATTTGAGCCTGCCTGCCTTTTGGTGACTAGTCCAAGAACCTGATTACTGTCATCGTAGCCTGTTTTGGTTTTATTTTGCCTTCTAACCTTTGAGGACTACAAATCACTTTTCAGACTGGAATAATAGTGCAAAAACAAAAGTAAATCATGAAATTTCAGTTAATTTTAAGTTCAGCTCAAACCATCAGTTGTAAGATCATAAAAAATAGGAGTATGTAATTTGGCTCATTGAACCTGCACTACTAATGGTGCAGGTTCACTTTTCTGCTTGCTCCTGTAACACTTATAGATCACCATTCTGTATCTCAGTCTTGAATATATTCAGTATACCTAGTGTTCACACTTCTGTATAGAAGATAATTTAAAAGACTAATGATTCTACTAGAGATGAAATTCTTCCTCAACTCTGGCATAAATGGGACAGCTCTTATTTTTAAACTATATCCCATAATTCTAGACTTTCCCACAGGAGGAAACACCCTCTCAGCATTCATTATCTCAAGTCCCCTCAGAATTCATTGTTTCAGTAGGGTCAACTCTACTGCTTCTAAACTGCATAATGAGTATATGCCCAACCTGCTTACCATTTCCTAATGAAACAATCTCTTCATTCCTAGAATTAGCCTAGTCAACCTTCTGTGAAATGCTTTAAATGCAAGTAATACTCTCCTTAAGAAGACCAAAACTGTACAAGTCTCTCATGGTAAAACTTACCTACTTTTAAACTTGATTCCCCTTGCAATAAAGGCCAATATGCCATTTCTGTTCCGAATTATTTGACCGATACGTTTTTGTGTATCGTACAAGGACACCCACATCCCACAAACTGCAGCATTCGTGGTCTCAATTTAAATCATATTCTGCTTGTCTACTCTTGTCAAAGTGGGTAGCTTCACACCTCTAGAAATGAACCTGAAAATTTCTTTGCATGACTTCTAATCTTCATAAGCTCTCTTTTAAACTATCATGCTGCTGCAAAGCAGATGAGAGACATGTGCCGCTGCTTCTAGGCCAGGTCTGTCAATATATACATCAATTGGACATTGGCAAGGCAGCTGCTTATGGAACACTGGGATTGGATGTCCTACACAAGAGTTGCTGGCCAATCAGAGGGACAGCAGCTCTTCCACAAAGCAAGACCATGGAGGATGCAGTGACTGCTAACAGAAGAACTCTCAGAGAGCTCCCAGACACTGCCTTTGATTGAGAGACCTTCCAAACCATCCCACCTAGGTGACTGCGCAACAATATACATACCCCTGCAATTCCACCCAAAATAGTGAAAGATCCACTTGGGTCACCACTCGGATCCGCCAGGTTAATCCCATCAATGACAAGCCAAGGCCATTCAGTAGTCCTGGATGCCCATTTGAGGGCCTGAATGGGCGTACAGACAGACAGGTCAACAATAAGCTTTCCCACTCAGAACTAATTCTGGTGGATGTGAGAAGATGGGAAATGTGATTTAAGTATGGCATTACCCTGACTGATTAAATGCCCTTTTGCTTCCAGCTCACAATCTCGAAGCAGAAGTTTCTGCCATGTATATCTCTTTCCTGTACCAGCCATCCTTTGGCTTCTTCAGTTGAAATTTTTTTTTCCTGGCTATTGATAGGTTTTGTGGATTTCCCAAAATTACTCAAGCTCAACTCAGATTGGTGCATTTAGCTGTTGCAAGCTCTTTGGGACTGTCTTCTAGGAATTTTCAACATTTGTAGTCCACTAACACATTTCATTTTTTTTTTACCAGTATGCTTATGATAATAATCCATCAACTCAATTTGCTCCCATCAATATATTCCAGTGTCCTGGGAAGATATTACAAAATGCTGGACTTCTTTCGTTATTATTCATTTCAGGCGTTATCACTCTTTATGAAGAACTGCTGATTGCTGTCCTGATGTTTTGTTCCTGAACTTTAATTTAAAATGTACATTCTATTTCTTTACCCATCTTCAAAATTTCAAGCGAGATCACTTCTCCGATAACTTTCACAATGCAAGAGCCAAATTCCACCGGTCTTCCCTCGCAGCTTAGGCCATTGTCCTTGGGGATCACTTTCTTGACTCTTCTGTGTCAGGTGGAGTAGCCAAGAGATGGGTCCGCTTTTCCTGGTGTATATGCGACATTAAAGATAATTTGCTGATTGTTGCTTAACCCCTGGAACAAAGGTGCCTCTTTTTTTTCGAAATGATGTTCTTCCCACTGTGTCACAAGGGTCTTTTGAGCTTCGTTGTCACAATAACCAATGAACATATGCAGACTAATCTTCACACTGCTTAAAATTTTATTTAAAAATAAGTTTTCTTTATGGTTATTACACTGTTGATTCTTCAGGAAAATATTTTATTGGTAACAGCAAAAGAGTAATCGGGTTTTTAGTGCAGAGATCATACCGCTAAGAGACTGGTAGAGGCAGAGTATTTTATTTGTTCCTCACGGGACAGTAATCCCAGCAGACTGTCTCTGGGCGCTGCATATTCTCTAACGTTAGGTAGTCCTGGCACAACACAACAACTCAGGGCACTGCGGTAGATGCTCATGTCATGGGCATCGTACCATTCATCTGTCTTCTCATCATAACACTCTACGTTGAACGTCGTCGTGAAACCATTGAAACCGCCCACAACAAACAAGAGATCGTCCACCACCTCAATTCCAAAATTACTCCGCGGATTAAACATAGTGGGTAAAGTGCGCCAGGTGTTGGTGAGTGGGCTGTAAGCTTCAGCACTCCGGAGACGGTTGGCCCCATCAAAGCCTCCAACCTATGGGGAAACGGAAAAAACAGCTGTTCACTAGTACGATAACAGTTCACTCTCTTGTATGAGTAATATAAAATGAGTGCGCTGAAAGAGGATGGAATGAGAATAATTAGAATCTGTTTGGGGCACGTCTGGTTCTGAGGTGACCGGTGCAGCATTTAAGATTATGAAGAGATAGAGAAAAGTTCAAAATTTCTGTGTCTTTTCAAAAAGTTCACTTTCTTACCATATTTCTCCGAAACATTTAATAACTCTTTGAAAGGAGAAAGAAAACACATCCACAGTGCTGCCCGTTACAATTTGAGCATAGCTCACAACATTTCACAACTATTTAAATACCTTTTGAAGTTACTCAACCAGATCATCTGTCCTAATAGTATTGTTTCAGGAGAATTCTTCTCTTCAACATAGTGCCATGGGATCTTTTATATTTTAGATAATAAGGGGGCAGATGAGGGGGAACAAGAACAGAAGTTGCTGGAAAAGCTCAGCAGGTCTGGCAGCATCTGTGGAGGAAAAAACAGAGTTAACGTTTCGGGTCCGGTTCTGAGGAAGGGTCACCGAACCTGAAACGTTAACTCTTGTTTTTTCCTTCACAGATGCTGCCAGACCTGCTGAGCTTTTCCAGCAACTTTGTCTCTGTTCCTGATTTACAGCATCCGCAGTTCTTTCGGTTTTTATTCGGCAGATGACGGGTGACTCCCTTCGTTCTTTCATGTGAAAGCTAGCAGTGCTGATAGTACGGCACTCTTGGTGCAGTACTAAAGTTTAGAGAGGATTTGAAGAAAAACGTTTTCTGGAATTTGGAATGCATTGCCTGGGACGGGAGTAAAGGCTGGAAACCTCAATTTTTAAGAAGGATATGGATGAGCACTTACTGTCATAACATTCAAGGCTTTGGACCAAGTACTGAAAAATGTGGGATTGATAGATAGGTTGGCATAGACTTGATGGGCCAAAGGGCCTCTTCTGTGCTGTATGGCTATGACTATATAAAGTATCATTGCTCAAGTGTCTGGAGTGGGGTTTGAACCCACAATCTTCTGATTTGAGTGCTACCTCCTGAGAAAAGGCTGACAGCTGAAAAGTAAGAGGATGCAAGGACAGGAGGAAAGGGCTGGGAAATCTGATTAAACTAGATAGCTGCTCTTGAAGGGCTAGCGGTAGGGTGGGTTTAATGTCCTATGTTGTAATTTCTATTTCTGTGATATGCAAAGATGGGTAGGCAGAGTCAAGATCAATCAAAAAAGATGTGGCTTGTTCAGCTGACGTTGTGTCCACTTGTTATCAGTACTTTTAAAGTGAATCATTGTATTTAGAATTACATGTATTCTTTTTCATTCATTCAGAAGACATGGGCATTGCTGGCTAGGCCAGCATTTATTGCTCATCCGTCATTGGGTTAAGTGTTAACCACATTGCTATGGGTTTGCAGTCAGATATAGATCAGGTTAAGGACAGCAGTTAGCTTCCCTAAAGGACATCAGTGAATCAGATGGGTTACCAGATGGTATTCTGGAATGAACAGTATAAATTGATCAATTGGAAGCATGGATGACTTAGTGATGGTGGGTAATAGTTGAAAAGTACCACGGGTGATTTGGTGATGGGGGAAAAAAGCCATTCAGTTGTGCATGAAAGCATGAATAATGAGGAATATACAGAAGGTTCTGTGCATTTACCCCTTTGGTGTTCTTCATGGTTAGTTGGGCTAAAGGTTCATTCCAGACTGTCGAATTCTGGTTTGGTTAATGCTGATAGCTTATTTTTAAAAATAGCTCTACTCTTCACTAGAAAAAAAAGTCTCTCTCTCTTTCTTGCTCTCTCTCATTCCATCCTGCTGTCCTTGCTGAACTGGTGAACATCTAACGGTGGGGTTTAATAGAATATAGAGAGTTGGCCCTCAGAATTCAACTTAATTCAAATGTTAATTCATGTAGTCTTCACTTGCCATGTCCCCATGCCTGAGAGCAAGATTAGAAATTTGGGGTCAGGGAGCTGTCTCTGTCTCTGGCCACAAGTACATCCATCCCTGCTTCCCTCTTCTGCCTTTGGCTGTTGGTCTTAATCTGTAAACTTCATCCTACATTCCTTCCTTTAAACTACTCTCTTGCCATTGAAACCTTCTCAAACCAGCTTTTTGAACTGTTCTTTAGACAGTTCTTCTGTTAAATTCAGCTTAATGCCCAGGCCATGCCAGAAGTATTTTAGAAAGCACAGTCAGCACTCCTATTGTATCACTACAACATCCAGGTTTTTAGCCTTCATCATGTGTCTTCAATGCTGCCAGTATTTTTTGTTACACCCATCTGCTTGGACGCTAGGGACAAGGAGTGAACATTAGCATCTGTTCTTGAGGAAATTTACAAGACAAGTGTCTGAGGTTCCTTTTGCCTGAAAATTCCTTTACTAAGGAGTGCCTCTGGTGAAATGTGGAGAAGACAGAACAAATTGGATTAAAGAATAAACAAGGCATTTGAATAAGTTTCCAAGTAATTCCACCAATTTTGTTTTTCTAATTAATTTATGTTATTGGAATGTTTATTCTGTATGAAATGCTGCTCACCTATTTATTCTCATGTCCTTGTTCACCTCCCTTTGGTTTCCTGAGACTCTGCAGTGGTATTTGACTGAATGGTGAGGGTGTTTAAACCCAAGATTTACATGACTTGGCAAGAAGGAAACTGAAGGAACTGCTGACTTATCCTCTCTGAAGGCAGTGCTAGAGGCACTGTCTCTTGGACTGAAGTCTGGGTGTACGGAAGTTCCTAGGAGCAAGATGAGGTGGTCTACAACTCAATGTCCTACACTGGCTTTATCCTATTCCCCAGTGTCCACTTCAAACTCCCATTCTCCTCCAATAAATGGCTCCACTTTCTCAACCTCTGCAACTCTATAATGAGTCTCTGGGATGGTGCACATTTCTTTATGTTGCTGATGGCTGTGTCCTCAATCATCTTGCCACTCTAAATCTCGAAATTAGTCTTTCCCCTAGCCACGTTTACGCCACATCAGATGTCTCCTTTAAACCTACTTCATCAAACTAACGTTCCCTCAACTTCTAACAGCGAGCTGAGAAACTCCTTGGGATGTTTTGCAATATTAAAGGTGTTCTATAATTGCAAGCTGTATCACTTACTGCGTATACGCATTCACCATAAGCTATAACGCCAACGCCGCTACGCCTGCTCCTCATGGGTGCTATGGTCGTCCATTGGTTAGTTTCAGGAGTGTAGAATTCGGCTGTGAACAAGCACTCATTACCATTGAATCCTCCGCAAATGTAAACCTGAGGTGAAGAGGAAAGCACAGCTAGATAGCCGTGAGCGGGAAGGATTGTCTTAAAGAGAGATGTGGCACACCAGGCATTGTTTAAACAGGAGATGGTGAAGCTAGATTGAACCTTGGTGTGCCACACTTTTAATTAGAGCTCATCGTTGAAAGCTGAAGGTTAAGGGCACATAGTAAAAACTTTTATAATAATGTAGGGACTCAATGATTTTCATTTAAAAAACAGGGTAGGGAAAACAGAAGAGCTATCTGTATGCAGTAGCATATTTCCATAGAACCCAGGTATAAACCATTAATTATCGTAACTGATATTTATAGTTACTTAAAAATATTGGGGTGATTAAATATGACCAGTAATGATTAAAACTATTTTGTTATAGACCCCACTACAGTCATCCTCAGCATCTGTGCTAATTCCTAGGTGGTTGGCTGTGTCAAGACTTCAGCAGGCTGCAGTTAAATAGTCGAGTTGTGACTATACAGGAGTTCTAATCAGCTCTTTTTTTTTGAGGGGAGGGATCAGTGAATGTTGATACGCCTTTCCCTCAGATCCTTAAATAGGTGAGGGTAGAGTCTCAGGATAGATGCATGCGCTCTGGCAGATGATTCATTCTGGAGCAGATTCTCTGAAATGGGGAATTGTAGAGTTTGTGGAGAGTGGTTGATTGGTATTTTCTCATTCCATTCTATCTTAAGTTCTTGTCCCTTTAGGAGCACCCTTTAGCCGATCTACTCACAGTAAAAGCTGAACTTTAGCTGCAGAAATTTACCTGTTTACTGGAGACTTGTGCATTGATGAAACTTGCAGTACAGAACTACCAGTGGGGGCCAGTTTACTGAGAGAACTTACTGATGGATGAACTCATGGTTATCTCCAATCCTTAACATACTGCATTACTGACAGTGCGTCAGGTGGACAGTTGACATTCCAGTTGATACCCGATGGAAAGAATTCAAACTCTTCAAGTTAATAGAGAAAATAGCTTGATGGGTAACTACTGTAGCAGTCAACCTTGCTGATTAGAAAGCTCCCAAGTATATTCCCCTGCCCCAACCCAGTTCAGTTAACAATGAATTTCCATCCCAAGATTAGGGGGAAAGTATAGCCGGGGTCCATCTCCTAATCTCTCGCTGATTCCTCCTGTTGAAAATTTTTGGAACAAGAGGAAGCCATTCTGCAACCCCCACCATGCTGACCCAAAGACACCCATATGCCGTTCCTAATTCCATCGTAATGCACATGGCTCACAGCTCCACAGCTTATAGTGCTAAAGGTGCAGATCCAGGTAATTTTTGAAAGAGTTTAGGGTCTCTGCCTCCACTACCAACTCAGGCAGTGAATTCCAGACACCCACTACTCTCTGTGTAAAAAATGTTTTCCTCATGTCCCCTCTAATCCTTCTGCAATTTAGCTTGAATCTATGACCCCTAGTTTTTGAATTCTCTGCTAAAGGAAACAGGTTCCTCCTGTCTGTCTCTACCCCTACAATTTTACCTCAATCATGTCACCCCTCAGTTTTCACTTTTCTAGGGAAAACAACAACAACCTCTCACACTAAGATCTCTCACTTCCTCTGCCTCTCTCATTATATTCCCATTTATTGTCTATTCCCATTTATTGTCTATTCCCATTTACTGTTTGACCTCCCTAAATGCATAACCTCACACTTATCAGAGATGAACTCCATCTGCCACTTTCCTACCTACTCCACCAACACATCTGTATCATTTTGGAGCTTACAGCTATCATCTACACTATCCACTGCACAGCCAATTTTTGTGTCATCTGCAAATTCCACCGTTGTTCTCCCCCACCACCACCCTGCAACCAATTCAAGTCCAAATCGTCAACGTATAAAACAAACAGCAGGGGTCCCAACACTGAGCCCTGAGGAACACCACTTGAAACAGCTTTCCATTTGCAAGGGCAGCCATCGACCACGACCCTTTGTTTCCTGTTACTAAGCCAACTTTCAACCCGTTACCCCGTATCCCATGGGTTTTTTTTATTTTGACTAGTCTGCCATGTGAAATCTTGTCAAATCCCTTATTAAAAGTTAGGTTAAGACTGGTCTGTACCTAAATGCAATCTACCACTTGGCTCAGTATTATTTCCATTCCCTTTGTGTGAAGAAGTATTTCCAAACATTACTCCTTGACAGCCCAGTTATGTTCTTAAGCCTTTTGTCCTGGACTCTCCCACTAGAGGGAAGTTTCTCTCTGTCCTTGCTATCAAACTGTTTAATTTTCTTAAACGCCTCAATTCAATCAGTTTAAGTCTCAGAGTGCTAGAAAGCATTGAGCTTAAACTGAGCCCACAGTGATAAAATTTTGGAACTCCCACTTGGATTTCTGGATCTACAATGTGCTCTATTTCTCTGTATTCTGGCTTCACTGAAATGTTATATTGAAGGAGGAAAATTAGCTGGACCAGGGGTGTGGGTAACAGTAGGAGGGTGCGATGACTTAGTTTTTCTTTCAAACAGCCAGAATATACATGATGGGCTGAATGGCTGCCTCTGCTACATCATCACAGGATTGTGTGGTCACTAACTTTAGTCAGACTTTGAAGGTATTTGTTAAGAATTTCTGGTTATTTATTTGAGAATATGTTTTGAATTGGTTGCTGCTTTAATAATTTAATGTCCAGTTTGTCATCTACCATCTATTCTGCATTTATTCCCTTTTCCCTTCTTCTGCAGGCTGTAACTTACATTAAGGCACATCTTACATCGGATATCAAAGTCCCCAACACACCTTGCCCGAGTTCCCATCCTTTAGGTTTGGATCTAGGAAGTGTCAGATGGCTGACATCACAACAGTTTCTAATTTCATTGTCCCACCATATTCTCATGCACACTCACACACACATACTGTAGCAAGTGTCAGGAAGAACCTGGACCAGTATTTCCCTCATTTTCGCAGTCCACTTATGCCAAAATTAATTGTAAAATGACACAGATATCCTGACCAATATCAAACTGAAGATAAGACAAGGTTTGGGACTCTGTAATTATATAAGGCACAGTGTCACACCAGGCACTGCATTTACCACTGAAGGATTTCCAACTTGTGTTTTTAGAAAACTTTTAAAATAAATAAAAATGGATGCTACTGTAGGTTCAGAATGAGAACTGAAGCTTTATTTAAGCAGCAAGTATAGAATTTGGCTTATTGAGGATTCATCTCCGAAGCCCCATTACTGTATTCCTACATTCATTCTATCTACCAGTAAGTACCTAAAGTACCTATTATTCTTGGTACTTACCTTAAATTTCTACTCAACTCTGAGACAACGTTGTGGGGGTGGTGTGGTTGTCCCTGCAGGGCAGGCAGTGCTGGACAGGTTATTTATACTAAAGGCAATGGTGTTACAAACATACGCATTAGGAAAAGTAGGCCATGGAGCCCCTCAAGCCTGATCTGCCATTCAATAAGACCATGACTAATCTGTTTGTATTTTGAATCCCATATTTCCATCTACCTTGGAACCTCTGATTCCCTGCCTAACAAAAATGTATCTACCTTGATCTCAAAAATATTCAATGACTCCATGCCATCACCTTGTGAGGCAGCAATTTCCAAAGTCAACCTCAGCAAGAAAAAGAATTATTTTCTGTGTCCCTGGTTCTAGACTCACTCCCAAGAGGAAACATCCTTTCCAGCCTATCATGTTATTCGATATTTGTTCAACGGTGGGAAAGGTAGAGAATCTCAGCTAAAACTTTTCTAATCCCATCTCTGGAGATGGTTAATATTATATCGGGGAAAGGTTCAGAATGTAGAGCGGGTTTTGGTTGGTTACAGTCCAACACTGTGTTCGTTTTTAGGTAATTTCTGGGTCTGTAGATTGCGACAGGAACAGATATGGCTTTTTGTAGGGTGTGTGTTCTTCCTGTCAGATGTGGGAGATGAGGGAGAATTTGAATGTTTAAAGTTTTTGAGAAGGTTTGTAGCTCAGGTTGTGGATTATGTTGTAGACATGCTTGCTGAGCCGGTGGGTTTGGTTGCAAATATTTTGTCACCCTGCTAGGTAACATCATCAGTGTGCCTCCGGTGAAGCATCGGTGTTCTGTCCCGCTTGTTATTTATATGCCTCAGATGGTCTTCAAAAGAAATGGATACCCGGAAAGCACAATCCGCTGTTACCTCCGAGACAGACCACAACGGGAAGACACAACACGACCAGACTCATTAATCACCCTACTGTACATCAGAGACATTTCAGAGATGACCACAAGACTACTCAGACCCCTAGGTATCAGGGTAGCCCACAAACCAACAACCACCCTATGATAGCTAATGACGAACATAAAGGATCCCATACCCAGAACCAGCAAAACCAGTATAATATACAAAATACCATGCAAGGACTGTTAGAAACATTACATAGGCCAGACTGGAAGAAAACTGACAATACAGATACACGAACACCAACTAACCACCAAGAGACACGATCAATTCTCACTTGTCTCATACACACGGACAAAGAGGGACACAAATTTGACTGGGACAATACATCCATAATTGCACAAGCCAAACAGAGACACGCCAGGGAATTCCTGGAGGCCTGGTATTCTAACCAGAACTCCATCAACAAACACATTGAATTAGACCCTGTGTACAAACCACTGAGAAACAGAGCCAGAAGTGTTACCAAACATCCCAACAAACTGAAGCATATAAATAACAGGCGGGACAGAACACCGACGCTTCACTGGAGGTGCACTGACAATGTTACCGAGCAGGGTGACAAAACGTTTACAACCAAACCAACTGGCTTTGGCGAGCATATCTATAACCTCCAAATTTGAATGCTCCTGGAGACTATGTCTGCAGAAAGTGTGTCTGCTTGTGAATCCTATGGGACCACATGGATCAGTTGGAGTGGCAGCTAGAGGCAATGAGGAGTTTACAAGAGCAAGGCGGTGTGATAGATGGCAGTTTCAGGAAGGTGGATACACTGCAGATACAGTCAGGTAAATGGTTGACTGCCAG